TCCTTTCTGGTGCTTGCTCGCTAGCGCGCGCGCGCACTCGCACACACCTTCACCGCCGCAGGGCGTTTTAAGTGTTTTCGCCTTTGTTTAAAAGACTCGGTCCCGTGCCGCTCGCATTATGCACCCTCTCTCATGCCCCTGCAAGAGGTTCTTACAAGACTCCGCTTTATAAACCGTCTCGCTCAAGGGTTTGACCACTTTGTGTCCTTTTTTTCGGGACGAAAGCCGCGCCTCCACCGATATCCACCCTTTTTCAACAGCTCGAATTAGGAACACTTCGATTTTTCGAGTCGTCGAAGCTTTGTATACAGGGTGTCGGGTAAATTAGTGGTGGTAATTCTGCGAAGTAAAGACGAGGAATGAAACTTTAGGAAAGGTTTTTTTTTGTATTTTTGAAGAAACGACGTAGAATTATCGCCCTTTTTCGACTGTACCACTAAATAGGTATATGACACCCGGTATAAGCAGCGCCTCGACGATGTCACTCTTTTCAACAGCTCGAATTAAGAGCTTTCTCACTTCGAGTGAGAAAGTCACTCTTATTTTTCGAGTCGTCGAAGGATTATTGCAGCGATGGCAGCTTTGTATACTGGGTGTCGTGTAATTAGTGGTGACAAAATAAAGAATCTTTCTAACTGTACCACTAGTTACATGACACCCTGTATAATTTCAGACAGGGTATCCATATGCATTTTGTATATGAGTTCTGGAAGCCTATTTTACTCGGCAATTGAGAATTTAGCGAAAACTGGTAGCTTTTATCGCTGACTTGAATAAATTTTTAAATGAAACAAAAGTTTAGCTGGCTAGTTTCTCCACTAGAAATATAGAAGTTTCAATTCATATTTCGTTACGAAGCAACAACGAACATTCGTCTCTTTCTCATAATCAGAAAAAAGATAGCGTAAGGCTTTTAACAATATCCTGGCTTAATACCAAGAAAATATAACGTCCATTAACTTTCCGGATGTCGATTTGAAATTATCAAGACACGCTGTCCAAAAATCGATTGTTTTACTCCCCCAGGTACATTTTCGTAATCCGAATTTGAAGCAGAGACCTGTATCATGCTGCACGGTAGTTTTCTTACGCAGTGCTATTTTAAAATAGTACAGCTCCTAAGGACACTTTGGTGGGTAATGGAATAGTAATGGAATATTATTTTAAGAGTCCGTAGGAAGACTTTACGAGGATTTTAACGCGGCAGAATGCGGCTTAGGAGAATACCTTACATGGCTAGAGTGTGCTTTAATAAAACATCGCACCGTTATACCACGCTTGAAAAAATTGCTGCCTTATGGATCCTATGAAGGTACTACTTGATTACAATACACTGAAATATGCTGCGATAAAGCAATTCATCCGTTTTCTTCAATTTAACTAACAAAAGTACATATTTAGTCGTATCAAGCAGAATCAGTAGTTTAAAGCATAATATCTTCATTGGAGGAGAGACGGACTAACATTAGCCTTTCTCATTAGTCCTCGCCAAGCCTTCTATTGCTACATACCGGGTGTCCTAATCGTTTTCGATCAAACTTTGCCAGTACGTTCTATAAGTATCAGTAAGTAAAAAATGTTATACAAACATAGGCGGTTTGAAGCTTCGTTAAAAAGTTTCTCGTATTTTCGTTACAATTTTTTAACGATGCTTCCAACGACCTATACTTACATCACATTTTTTTCTCCCATACACCCATAGAATATACAGGCGAAGTTTGATCGGAAACAATCGGGACACCCTGTATATACAACTTCCAGCCAAAGAGGTCCAGAACGAAACGCGTCTTTCTTCCCTTTCTCGCCTTTACTCACAGCTCGCTGTTGCATTTAGTTACATAATAATTACCGGGGAATAAATTCGTAGACGGCAAAGGATCCGCGCATCTGAATCGTCAATTTGCCACGAATTCTCAGGCGGGAATCGATGAAAACGAAGGCAAGCCTGATTCGATTCACCATGTCCCGCTTGAACGGTGGATGTCAAACCGTCTCCATCGAAATCGCAACGATTCCTGTCGGCCCTGTTCAGATGAATATTCATCGATACACCGCGTCTCCTATTTATGATCTTCTTTCATTACCAATTCCGTCGGTTCGTCGACTGCCATTAGTCACACTTTGCGTACCGAAAGCGTGATTCGAGGCGTTTATCGCGAATCGGGAAGGTGAAGTGCACTCGGGGGTGAATTTCACCGGCTGGTGCGCGCGTGCTTCGTGCGTACGATCCGCAGAGAGAACAGAGGGGAACAGGGAGGGAGAGAGAGAGAGAGAGGAAGACAGGCTGAGAGAGCGAGAGACAGTGTGTCAAGCACAAACAGGGTGTGGGGGAGGACCACCACGTGCTCTATCGAGTACGTCAGTCATTCAGTTGAACGCGCACGCAGCGGAGAGCTCTGCGTGCAACAGTTTAACGGAATTACAGGCGTCGTACCGGTGTGAGAAGCCCGGCGCGTTTCACGTTTGCACGTTTTTACAGCGGCGATATAAACGACGAAATGTGATTTTTCGCGGAAAAGTGGAAAATCGATGACATGTTCTCGGACGAAGCTTCGAAACAGACTTAAATGCTCAGCTGTCGTTTCATGTCGACCAGTGTTCGTAAATATGTATCGACAGGGTGGTACAAATGAATAACGCACAGCAACATAGTATATTGTAATACTCATGTGGATATACATAATTAGAATTAGAATTAATCACTTAAAAAATTGATTTATCCAGAAATGAAGTATTGCAGAAATACACATTTAATCACTTTAAAAATCGACCAAAAATGATCACTTAGAAAATTGGCCAAAAATGATCCAAAAGTGACCAATATGTATTTCTCCGCAAAGAAACTGTGTATCGATTTTTCCAAAGTAAAAGTTTCCTATTTTTCCGTGAGATATACCCTGTGTAACCGGTTAATTTGTTTCAAATTCGTGAAACACGGAAATAATTTCCGTACATCCGTGTTCACGTTTGATCAATCGCTATAGCAGTTTCCCGGGAAATTTCTCGCCCCATCAATTGTTAATCGCGTGAATTTTTAGCCGGTTGAAATATTAATCGCGTTAATTATCCGCGCTACCGTTTCGAAATCGACGATCAATTATTAATCGTACCCAGTTTTAGGCTTCAGCCCCAGTTTCGTCCAAGCTATGAAATTCCATCAGCGTCAAGTATTAAAACCCTTCGAATTGTAACTGGCGTGAATACGAATTGAACGAGCTCAAATATGAGACTCACCTCTTTGTCTTTCGCTTGCAGTTCCTGTTCCAGGTTGGTGTTCGGCGTCCTCCTGGGATTGCTGGCATCGTGTACTTGATGCTGATCACTTCCCTGTGGAGTCTGAGACAATTTATGTCCCTCAGTCTTCGAATTCCCATCATTCGCCGCGGCAAGTTGCTCCTTTAACGCAGAAACTTCCTTTTCCGCCAGTGTCGCCCTCTGGAATCAGACGAATTTCCTCCAATCAGAGTGTCTATCGTTGAACAATTATGATTAAAAAGCGTTTAATTTGAGCGCGATGTGTAATTAGAGTAAAAAATGGAAAATTATTACAGGATCAATTTGGAAAAATTAGAAATATCAAAAATCATTTCGAAATGCAAAAAAATTATTCGTACGAAAAGTGACTAAACTCGAGAGATAAAATGTATTACTACTAATTCTGTGGTGTACTTTTAGCAACAATAAATATTAAGTTGAACATCCTAAATAGAATTCAGTCGGTTAATTTAATTGTCTCTAGACGACACGTTGAAATTAGTATTTCAATGTTATTCCTAGGAATTTCGGATAAGTAATTAATGAACACGTAGGATTCTATCTTACATACATATTTTTGAAAGTAACTATAAGAAGAGCAATTTTAACATTATTTCTTTCGATAATTAAACATCGATTAATTCTATAGATTATTTCTTACAGTTTCTAGTTTAGTCTAACAAATTCAGCGATTCTAACCTTACTTTTCTTAATACTTAGATACAAATTAATCGTGTACATTATTCTTTGTAGCTTCTAGTCTAACAGAGGAGTAACAGATCGATAAGTTTTCGGTGTAAGAACGTGAAAAAGAAGCAGTGGAAACGTTCGAAGACGATAAAATCATCGAGTTGCCGTAATGACAAACACATGCCTCCTCCGTGGTTCGCCTGTATGACCAATCTGTACAGCACGGCATATGCTTAAGCTATTAATTAGCATCTGGAAGCAATTAAAGTAATTGCGAATTCGGTAGTAAAATATGGGAACGCTACGTGGACTAACGGCCACGAGTCCACGTCAGTATTTGCTCAATGCATCGAAGTTGATCGATCGTTTTGTGAAACAGCCACGTTGACTTCTCTTCGATTTGAAATTGTAGAGAAACACGGAATCCCGTGTATACGGTCATTCTATAACGCTGCCTATTCACAGGCGGAGCATATTTTCTGCAATTTTCTTTGGTCAACGTATTATTTACTATTTTCCTTCCATTTATCTAGAGAATCTTTACAAAATATTGTCACAAATGTTAGATTCTGATTTAAATCTCGAATTAACGCCGTTAATCAACGTTAGTTCTATATAATTAGATTTTTGGAAAATACTTCCGTTTTGGCGTTTTAAAATTAAAAAAGAATTTTTAAATTAAAATTAGAAATTTACCGTTTTTAAGTTTCTCTGATTAAATTAAGGTGGAAGCGCGCAAAGAACAAAAACTAAGTGTGACAGAGGACGCCGAGGGCACAGATCAAGAAAATATTCAAAATGACTATAGAAGTCAAGGTCACAGTGCGAGCACAAATTTTCAAAACGCCTACAGGCGTGAAAAACAGCGGAAGGGTTAAATTAGAAAAAGAAACCTAACCTAGAAATGAAAGATAGAACGTACAAAGAATTAAATTTGAATAAAGAATACTCTACAGTAGAGACGATAAATAATAACAAGATGTGAGTCTTCAAAGAGAATTCAAGCTTTCGGTGAATTTTCTGAAGCCACGAATCCACGAGGATCAAAGGAGTATATCAAAGACGTTACGTAGCACCGCGAAATCGTAAACAAATTTTGAACAATCGAAACAGACGTTCCCGAGTCACGCGGCAGTTCTACGGGTAAACCGAAGGAGGGAGGGGAGAAGATCAGAATAGCAAGAAGACGAGGGGAGGGTGACATCGTGAAGAAAAAGAAAGACAGAGTTCGAGACGAAGTACGAGGGAGGTATAGTAATGACCCATTGTTTCCTGCAAAAAGCCTTGACGATGTTATCGATAATTACGAAATGATACGGGAAGCATAAATACATATCCGAGAGCGCGATGCACGTTCATCGGAATGGCGGACGAGTATCGATAGGCTGCCGAGTTTCATCCTGTGTATTTGTCACAGGCTACCGTGCGATGGTGACGGTGGTGGGGGGAAAACGTCAGCGTAGCTAAGGCTCGTGGAGAGGATCGAGAAGATCGCCGATAAAGATCGTCCGCCCGCGATCGTCACATTAGCAGCGGAAGTCGTTGAAAGATAATGGCTTCTTTGAACGTTCCTAACGACGCTGCTTTTGTCGTTGTTCTATCAACAATCGGCTGTTAAGAATTTAAGTTATGGGATTACGGGAAACTCGAGCGGTCCTTCCGCTCTTTCGATTACTTCAAGGCTTTCCGTCTATTTCCTCCTTGATTCTTCAATACACTCCAGAGAATCTTCATTTCTAAATAGATATCTATTGAATATCGTTGCACATTGCCAGAACGAACTATAATGCAAGAATAATGTAGAGGCGATTTTTGATTTTCGCGAATATTGAAAGTGAAACTTTCGAATACCGTTTGGAATAGATTTGCGACATTAGGTTGGTTCGTATGACACGACGTTTTTACGAAATAAAACTTCAGATACATTGTGGTACATAAAAATTAATTTCCACGCGATTCCTATACACTTTTCTCAACGATAAACTAGTTTCATTATTCCAGATTTATAAAAATCATTAGTCTTTGAATTAAAAGATTCTTCGAATACTACTTTTACGATGTTTTCATTTCGGAATAATTTGTTTGTCGAAAAATTCGCTAAAACTCTTTACACGTCAAAAAAAGTAATCAATTTATTTTAAAGATTTATTTTCCAGTCATTTCTAAGAAACTACACTTTCAAATTTAGATAATATCTGATTAAAATAGTAATCTCGATTGTTGCACGCAACATAACCTTTTTCTTCGCGACACAGAAACGACAATCACTACTTTAGTCAAAAGTTTCGATAAAAAGATGCGACAAACCTATTATACAACGTGATAGGGATCACATCTTGTTCCATCGGGAAGAGATTATGACACCAGAAGTAAGTACTTGACAAAGGAAACTTCATAGGGTTGATAGAAGCAGCAGCCGGTTCGATTCGATCGTCAGACAGCGCCGATTACATACTCGCCTTTCGACCCTGACAGGGAGGAAGCGGGGAAAGACGGCAGTTCGATCATGGCGAGGCGTTTCGTCTTGGGCCCGACGTTCGTCTTGCACCCCCTTGCAAATTGACGGTTATTCGACTTGCACGGCGTTCTGAGCATCGATCGATCGCCACTCACCGATTCGATATACGGAATCGTGGCTCATTGTATGTTCCGCGTGTGCAAGAACCTGCTTCGGGGCTGCTTTTAGGCCGGGTGGTCACGCACTTTCGGATCAACTACCAGGCCATCGATCGGTTTCTGTCGTGTTGATACTTGTTTTCACGTTTTCTGCACGTTCAAAGATTCCTCGTGTTGCGCAATTAAGCCACCGTAATTTGTTGCAAATTCGCGGTTATGATTTCGACGATATCTCCGCGAGCATTTGTAATTAAAATCTTTCCTCACTTCTACAGAGTTTTCTTACGATTGTACGGGAAGGGAGACAACCTCAATGTTAAGGTTATATCGTTGCACAGATCCATCCTTTCTTTTTCGTAACTTTATTTCCAACACTTATTCTCCAAGGCAATCGTTCACTTTCTAATACAAACACTAAATTCGTATAAAATCACTCTCTACGTAACTAAAGGTTATCATCTTCGCCCTATGAATTATTCTCACTGTTCAAAGTGATAGAATCGATAAGAAACGGTCAACTATCATAACGCACTAGCCACAGGTTATACGACCGTAAACTTCAGGCGTTACTAGCGGTGTTCACGTCCTAGCCTTCGAGAAAACGGCGTAGAATCGATCATTCTATGCAATCGATAAAGATGAATTTCAACCGACTAGAGGCGAGCGGTGATTCGCTGCGCAGCAGCCAATCAGAGTTCGCATCGTCTGACGCAGTAAACAGATACCGTATGAGATTAGCGTATTTCAATTTATATTATAAACTTATATTACTAGTTCAATGATTCAAATATCGTCATTATCAATCCCTATATCGTTGTTCGTGAAATCTTCTGAAGTAGAGAATCGTCGAGATCGAAAATTGTCCAGTGGTCAGAATTCTAAAAGGAAATGGGCCATCGCCAATGAGCGCGCGTAGAAGTTGGCATAGCATACGTGTGCGCGCGCACGGTATGCGACTGTCGCAGCTGGCGACGCGAGGTGTTGTAGCGCGTCAAACGCCCAGCATTCTTTGTGCTTCGCCGGCAGGATATCCCGAATAGATCAGGCTCCCTCGTGGCTCGCACACCCACCCTGCCGTGCGTGCGTCTATTTTTACGCCTAGCCCGAATCATTAACGTGTCGCGTTCTTTTCTACTATTTATTCCGTGACGGTTGACTAATGCGCGAGACCCATCGGGAATTCCGGCCGGATCGATGTACATATATTTCAATGCTGCTAAGTACCTGCACCGTGCACCACTTGTCCCTGAATCCTGAGAAAAGTCTAATAAGAAAGGAGACGAGTGGGTGCTCGAAAAAATACGAAACATAGTTTTGAAAGTATATGAAATTTCTTTTATGCAAAAATCTTGAACGAAAGAGGTTAGGTTAGACACAGTGTCACTGTGTTAATTATAATAAATATAAATTAGTTATATCAGAGGAAATACTCTTCCCATGATTTACACATGAAGCAATAATAACGTTAAACATGCAAAGCACATTTTTCGAATTTGCTTTCCTGTTTTCATAATCGTCAACGCCTCACACATATGCTTTCACTTGCAATTTCACGGCGATACACGCGCTCTACGTTCTTAAACGTTATACGCCACCGTTTCTGTACAATACTGTTCTCGTCGAAATGAATTTTAACGACCATATGCCACGCTATTCGCCCCTATATATATTTTCTAATTTATACAAGCCGCTAAAACGAATATCTAATTAGCATGAAATGCATCGTTTATTTTTACGGCCTGTTCTACCGCGCCTTTCGTTTCGTTTGCCAGATTCGCGTGATCTTTACTAATCGCGACATTTGACATGCCGTAACGCTCGATGACTATACGTCGTTTCAAAAATTCACGTACAGAACCGAATAATCGATGACC